AAACCAACAACAAATAAAAAAAAAAAAAAAAAAAAAAAAAATACACAATTAAATAATAAGAAAAATTTTAAAGATAATTAATAAGAATAAATTGTTTATCTATAATGAAACAGATAAAAAAAAAGTTTGAGAATTGTGATACGAATGAAAACATTCCTTCATTGTATGGAAATGCAACTAACATTTATAATCAATCACTCAATGATGAATATATGGAATGCGAACCTGAGAATATAATGACAGAAGAATGCAATACACCTAAGTTTGAAACTGTAGATGTAAATGGAAAGAAAATACACATAAAAATACAAAAAAATTGTGATTTAGAAAATAAGAGAAATATTAAATCAGGAAAAAAAAGCAAATCTTTTATTAAGAATATAGTAAAGAAAATGGAAAATATATATAAAAGTGGATTATATAATAAAAAAAATAATAAATTATTATTTGATTCACATTCTGCAATTTTTCCAAATGAATATTTAAATGTTGAACCTACTAATAATGTATTATATAGACGCAGAACCCCAAATGAAACATTACTGAGAAGTGATTTTAATGGTATTAATTTAAAACCATTTGTTAGGTTTAAAAGTGTTGGGAATTTAGATAATCGAATGAAAAATAAAGCAATTATAAAAATTTCTAATCTAAATCCATCTATAAAATATTACAATAATATGGAACATAATTATTTTAATCCAACAAATTTAAATACATCAAATCATATAAGTGATAATAATCTAAAGAAAAATGATAGATATAGTAAAAATAGTAAGTGCATTTATAATGATATTAATAATTCGAATAATAAAAGAAATAGAAAAACACTTTCCTATAATAGAAATGGAATGTGTATTAGAAGAAATACAATGTATGATCCTTTTTATGAAAATAATACAAAAAATATGAAATATAATGAACCTTATTTGAATAGTTGTAATTCTTATAATTTACATAACTTGAAAAAAAGTTCTAATTCTGATGAAAAAACCAATAAAATAAGTCTCAAAATAAGCAATAACCAACTAAATAAAGAAAAAAATTTAGACAAATGTTCACGTGAAATTAATAGCAGTAATAATAGAAATTCATTTTGTGATGATAATATGAGTTCTTTTAATAAAGAAAAAATACAAGAAAATGATTTTCCTAATCAGGATAAAAAATTAAGAACAAGAATATCTATACCTTTAAGTAATTATAGAAATAATATAGAACACAGTAAAGAAAATATTCATAATTCAAACTTTAATAATGACAATTTTATGAAAATTAAACAGGATGTAAATGGAAATAATTTTTGTTATGATGATAATAATATGAATAATAGCTTTCAGGAAAATCATAATAATTACAGAGGAGTAAATTATTATCATCCTAATGATGAAAACCAAAATAAAAATTTTACTTCAGATAAAAAAAATTCACAAATTGTATATAATAAGAATAATACAAAAGATTACTATAATTCAATGAAAAAAGATAATATTATAAAATGCAAATATAATGACAAAAATTGTATATATAATGAAAAAAGGGAAAATAAAAGTAATTCTTCAATTAATCTTAAAGAAAAAGAAAATAATATATCAAAAGATAGCATAAAAGAAAATAACTTAAGCATCGATGAAAATAGGAAAGAATTATATTTATCAGAAGTTGATGATCAAATTAGTAATAACAGCTTTGATAACTATAAAAAATGTTTTAATCAAAAACATTTGAGGAAATTACGTAAACCTTCAAACTCTAGAGAACAATTAGAAAATAATAATTTTAGCAAAAAGAGCAATATGGAAAATTGTAAAATTAATAAATCATATCTACAACTAGAAGATGAAAAAAGGAGCAGATTAAATAATTCTAATAAAAATAGAAGCAATATGAAGATTATAAAAAAAAGTTTTTCAGATGAAACAAAATCATCTAACAAAAAAATAGTCCTATATGATGATATGAATATCTATAGAAATTTAAATAATGACTTATGTTATGGAATAATAAAAGACATTAATTCAAAGGAAGATAGTGAAAATTATATATTCGATAAAAGGAATTTGAATGATAAAAATTGCTCTGATAGTATTTATAAAGAATCTTCTATTTGTAATAATTCACTGCAAAATAGAAAAAAGTATGGAAACTTGAAAACCACAACTATAGTTTCAGACAGTAAAAGATTAATTAAGGATAGAAAAAATAGAAGTGAGAATTCAGAGAAAAGTATAAGTAAAAATTCTAAGATATATAATTATCATAAAAAAAAATCCAAAAATGGTGATTTAGAACATCATTTTAATTCAAATGAAAAAAATTCAGAGAATTATAATATTTTAGAAAATAGTATGAATGATAAATACAACTTATCTGATATAAATCATAGCAAAGATAGTGAAAAAAATTATGGAATTTCTCAAGTTTTGGGGAAAAATAAAAGACATTATTGTGACTCAAAACAAGCAAAATTAAATAAAATATACCAAAATGGATTATTAGAAATAGAAGATAAAAAAAGTAGAAGTAGAATGAATTCCTCAAAACATAAAAATGAATATCATAACAATAATGAAATAACTAACTATAAATCAAGAAAAAGCAGAAACAAAAGTTCATTAAAAAATATGTCAAATAATATAATATCCCTAAAAAATAAAGGTAGTTATAGCAGTGAGAATGATTACAACAACTACAATTATTCAAATAGTGAAATAGACAAAAGAAATATATATTTAAAAAGAAATTCAAAAGTTAATACACATTTAATGAATATGAAAAAAAACAGTAGTAAAAGATCAAAAAGTGAGTATTCTTACGATTTAAAAACAAAAAAAGACAATGAATATTTTTCTAGTAGTATTATTAATATTTCTGATGATCAAATTGATATAAGTAGTGATTACTGCCAAACAAGTTCCAACTCACTTGAAAAAAAGAGATCAAATATTGAAAAATTATCAAATAGAGAAAAGAAATTAAAGGATAGTAACGAATATTATAAAAAACTATCAAATGAATCACTTTATGGGCACTGTAAATGTTCTTCAAAAAAAGGAACAAATATTTTGCATAAGTTTAAATATAGAGGAATAGAAGATGAAAGAAGTAGAATGATGAATGAAAATAAGAAAAATATTAGCTATTTAAATAGTATCAAAAAAGGTAAGATTATATGTTCTTCATGTGATGATTTTGTAGAAGAAGGAAAAAGTGACATATCGTTAGAAAATTGTTCACAAAGAAAAATTAAAGGAATAAATAACTTACCTTATAATTTTTTGAAGGAAGAGAGTATGAAACTTTCAAAAGGACTTTCAAATAGTTTAACTGATAAAAATTATGAAAAAATTAAAAAATCAAAAACTACTTATCCAAAAAGAGAAATTATGGAAAGAAATTTATCTACCTCCTCAAAAAAATATAAAGTTAGATCTAATATTAATGATATGAAAGTACAAGGTAGTCTCTACCCTATAGAAAAATCAGAAACAAAAAAAATAATTAAAACAAAAAGTTCTGTAGCATATAGTGAAGATAGTAATTCTTGTAATTACTCAAAACTAGGTAAAGTAAATTCTAAATATAATCATAATACAAAAAATACATTTTCAAAGCAAAAAAGAGAAAGAAATAGTAGACAATTAAGTCATGAGCACAAATCTGAAAGTAATACTGATTTCATTAATGATTTTGAAATAAAATCACAAAATCAAAAAGTTTTTCAAAATTTATCAAACCATAATTATCCCAGAAAAGATAACAAAGATGAGGTAGTAAAATCTTTTGATTCTCAGAAAAATAATGATATATTAAAAAAAAGAACTTTGTCGAAAAATTCTCAAAGAACCCAATATAAAAAACATTTGAATGATAGTGATTATGACACAGAAGAGTGTAATGACAACAATTACAATATATATAAAAATATTATTTATAAAAAAAGAGGTAATTCTATAAATTCCAAAAATATCTTATCCAATTCAAATCAATATAAAAAGAATAATATAGGAAGTGATGTTTTTTATTCGAAAAATTTAATGAAAATGAAAAAAAGTAATTCCTTTGATAAAGAAAGTCTTTATGAAAATAAAAAACATAATAACAGAAATGATGAAAAATCTAAAAGTAAAATACTCTTATATAATTCTTATTCTTATAAAGGAAAACCGCTTAAAATGGAAAATGAAGATGAAATTAATCAAAATGATAGAAAAAAACATAGTAATAATTCTTTTAATGAAAATTTAAATACAAAAAGAAGTTCATCCCATAAATATAGCATTCATTCAAGAAATTTAAGAAGTAACTTAAATGAAATGCTTAGTTCTAGAAAGGGTACATCTAAATTAAGTAAAAATTTAAATGATATATCTGAAAGTGGTTTAAATTTAAAAAAACCAACCATAATAAAAAGTGACAATGATAATTGCACACATGAAAACTTTCATAATACACTAGATAGAAGACATAGTCATATAAAAGAAATAGATAATGAAAATATAATTGAAGAAAATTCTGATCATGAACATCATAATACTTGTAAAAATTCCTTTGTAGGAAGCAAGCATTCATCAGAAAAAATAATAAAAACCTATTCATTCAATAATAGTAATTCCACTGCACAATCAAAAAATTATAACAAGAATTTTAGTAAATATTGTATAAATGATAATATTAGTAATAACTCAAATAAGAATTCCAATTATACTAATATAAATGATGATAAAGCAGTATATGATAGAAATATTTATAATAACTCCTATGTAAAAGAAAATACAGTTAGAAAAAAAAAATTTAACAATAGTAGAACCAAAAGTAGAAAAAAAAGCAATTCCTATACTTCTGAAATTGATAACGAAAGCAATAATAGTATAAAATCAAAAGAAAATGAAATTAATAATAACATATATATAAATACATGTGAGATTTATAAATATAGCACAAAGAATAAACCAGATAGTTTTATGAAAGAAAAATCGAGAAGTTCAAAAGCATCAGATTCATTTCGTGATAAAGGGAATTTCAACGAGAGAAAAAGTTTTTCAAAATTAAAAAATAAATCAAATAAAATGTATGAATTTACAAATAGTAGAGGTACATATAATAATGATGTTTATAAACCAACGTCTCATGTAAGAGAATCAAAAGAAGTCTATGGGTTTATGAGTAATAAAAAAAGCGAACATAATAGTACAAGTGAAGATAAAAATATATATGAAGAAAAATGGAATGATAATACAAAAAGGGAATATTCTTATTTAAAAAATATTAATCAATCATTAACTTCATTTCCAGAAGATTGTAGTTCACAGAAAACCATTAAAACGAAATATTTAAAAAATGAAAATTATGATAATGAAGAAGATGATAAAGCGTTATACAAAGGAAATAAAAAAATTCGTAATTCTTTCTATGGAATACATAGTAATTTAAACGAAGAAATATCTTTTCTAAATAAAAGAAATGAATCTTCAACAAATTTATCAAATGATAAAAATACTACTGAATCAACATATGTAAATAAAAAAAAACACATTAAAGTGGATGATTTTCTAAAAAAAAGCAACAATTTATCAAATAAAGAAGAAAATTTTCAAAAAATAGATAGAAAGATATTTCAAAAGGACGAAACTAATTCTAGAGTAAGTAGAAAAAAGAAAAATTATTTTAGTAATAATTATGATAGTACAAGTAATTTAAATAGTGATTATAATAATTTCCAAAATAATTATAATTGGCATAATAATAAAAATGATGGTATTAAAGGAAATGATAAATCATTCCATGATAATGTTAACTATTTTAATAGATCTGAGAGAAGTAAATCATATAATATTCAAGAAGGTAAAAATAATTATATAAAAAATGTAATAAATGAAAATAATAGTCCTCTAAATTCTTTCATTAAATCAGGTCAAAGATCAAGCGAAAATCACCATATTCTTCCAGCTAAAAATAAAAACAAAATATATGAATTTAATGATAAATTTAATTATAGTTCATTTTCAAAAAATAATAATGAATATGAAAGTTCAGCAAATTGTAAGAGCTCCCTTAGTAAAAGGTTTTTAAGTGAGAACTGTAAAAAAAAAGTGAAAGACATTAATAATTGTAGAAGTAATGAATTTTTGTATTCAAAAAGTGATTCAGAACACAATTTCAACTTATTTTATGTAGAAAAATTATCATATAAAAAAGATCTGAATTCTGTGTTACCAAAAATGATAGATACAAAAAAAAATAGAAATCTTAAATATAACAAAATAAATCCAGAAATTGATAGTTTAAATAAAATTACGTCAAATAAAAGAAATGATCATTTAAACTACAAATATAAAAGTATGGAAAACTTTAAAAATGATAATATGAAAGAAAAAATATATGAAGATAATAATGATAATATTTCCAAATATACAAGAAATGAAAATAATGGAAATCTAGTTATCGTTTATAATGACTCAAATAAAGATGAAAATCCAGTACTTCAAGAAAGTATAAAGATAGATGACCAGAGAGAAATGTATAGGAACAAAATGAATCAAAAAATTGATTATTCCGATGATATCAATTCAGAAGAATCAAGAAGTTTTTATTTAAAAAAAAATAATATTTCTGAAAGGAATAACAATTATTCAAAAATTTATACTAATTGTGAGAATACAAGTACAACTAGAAATTCAAGGAAAAATAATACATTTGAAAATAAGAATAAAAGTAATTCAAAGTATAGTACGAATTTTAATATAGATGAAGAAAATACATTATCAAAAACAATAAAAAATAGAAATAATAGTAAAATAAATAATAATTGTAATTTTTCAAAAATGGGAAATAGTAACCAAATAAAAACAAATATTCATAATTATTCTACTACTCCTATTGAATATAATTATAGTGTAAATTCTAAGAAAAATGAAGGATTAAATAATCATACTTCTAAATCCAATACAGAAAGTATTTACAATAATGGAGAGCATATTAATAATGAGAATGAAACGTTATCAAATAATTTTTATTTTTATAAAAAAAATTCTTCAAACAAAAATGATATTAATTCAGAATTGGTATATACAAATTCTTTAAATAAGTCAACAAAAAACTTGAATTCAAAAAAAAATATTTCAAAAGGATTGAGTGATAATCATAATATATATACATATGATAACATTAGTAAAGAAGATAAATTTACGAAAAGCGGTTCAATAGGTAATAATAGGTTATCTGAAAAGCAGAAGAAAAATAACGAGCAATTTTTAAATAGTTATTCATGTATTTATGAAAAAGAAAAAAATTCAATACATAGTAAAAACTATAGCAAATTAACAAGTGAAGAAAGTAAAGGAATAAATTATATAAACTCAAATAAAAGTAATTTATTAAATAATGACATAATTCAAATAGAAGAAAATAAAAATCCAAGTCAAGTATTAAGTTATGGGGAAAATACAAATATAGAAAGTATTCATGGAAGTAATGAAAACAAAGAAAATAATACTGGAATCCAAACAAAAAGTAACACAAGTATAAACTTAAATGTATCAAAATTTCCTAAATTGGTAAATTTAAATGATTTAAAAACATTAAATGATGAAAATGTTATAAAAAGCAGTGTGAAATCAGAAAATCATAATTTATATGTTGTGGATAATTATAATAGTAAAAGATCACAAGGAAATTCTCTTAGTGGTGTTGTAGGTATAGAAAAGGCAAATGAATATATGAAGAGCCAATTAAATTACTATCTAGAAAATGATAATGAAAGAAATAAAAATCAAAAAACAAATTCACAAAATATAGAATCAAATATAAGTATTATAAAAAAAAATGATGTTTATAACGATAACATAGAAAACTCTGATATTCCATCTATATCAAATAATGGTATAAATGATTTTAAGAATAGTACATATGAGAATTTTAACAATGATAAAAAAAGTATAAATTTTTTATATGAAGAAGATTCAAAAATATCTATAAATAATTTAAATAAGATAAAAAGTGAAAGTAATGATAGTCAAGTTGTGAGTAAAACAAATTCCTTATTAAACAATAATGAAAACATAAATTCGTATGGTACATTGTATAATTTAAATGAAAATAATACAATAAATTACAAAAATGAAAATAATAATATTAATAATAGAATTTATAGTAATATTAACTACCCTAGAAATAGTAAAAATAATACCTATAATATGGCATTCACTCAAAATAGTGTGTCATCCGATAACAGTATTCCTATTAATAATAGTATACCTATTAATAATAGTATTCCTATTAATAATAGTATTCCTATTAATAATAGTATTCCAGTTAATAATAGTATTCCTATTACTAGTAGTATTCCTGTTAATAATAGTATTCCTGTTAATAATAGTATTCCTATTAATAATAGTATTCCTATCACTAGTAGTATTCCTGTTAATAATAGTATTCCTATCACTAGTAGTATTCCTGTTAATAATAGTATTCCTATTACTAGTAGTATTCCTGTTAATAATAGTATTCCCTTTAATAATAGTATTCCTATTAATAATAGTATTCCTATTAATAATAGTATTCCTATTAATAATAGTATTCCTATTACTAGTCGTATTCCTGTTAATAATAGTATTCCCTTTAATAATAGTATTCCTTATAATAATAGTATGCCTATTAATAATAGTGTGTCATCTAATAATAGTATTCCTGTTAGCACCAGTGCACATGTTAATAATATTGTTTTTCCTCATACTTCATTAATAAATAATGAAATAGATAATTCTGTTTGTTTGAATGGAGGAGGAAATATAATCAAATATATTCATTCTAATGATAAAAAAAAAAGCAATTTGGATAATTCAGGAATAAGCATTTTAAGAAGTGATCAATTGAATAAAAATGATAACATCATCATTTATGATAGTTTAAATCATAATGGAATAACATCTAATAATGATTTAATTAATAAAACTAATAGTAGCAGTAATATAATAAATAAAAATATCGCTTATGGTAATATTATTAATCAAAAATCAATTATTTCTCAACCTATATGTAATAACAATTTAAATGATCAAAATATGACTGACAATCATTTAATAAATAATGGATCTTTAGGAAGAATGTATTGTGATAATAAAACATTTAGTACATTTAATATAAATAATCAAAACTTAAGTAATAATTTAATTAATCATAGTTTAAAAAATAATGGCATTAATAGTATTTTAGTGAATAGAAATATGAGTCATAACAGTGGTACTGACATTTCTTCAATTCATAATAGTTCTAATTGCAATAATATACATATGCAAAATATTTATAAAAATTCAGTTCCACATAGTCTAGATAAGCAAAATTCAATCAATTATAATATTACCAACTTAAATAATAATCATTTGCCTAATAATAATATTGACAATCAAAGTATATTCTACAATAGTAATAGAAAACCACTTGTAATTAATGGAAAAGATATGAATAGTCATCACTTAAATAATAATAATTCAATGAATAATATGAGTAATTATATTTTAAAAAATAATTGTTCATTGAGTAATATAAGTAACAAAAATATAACTAATGGTACTTTAGTAAATAATGATAATTTAATTAATAGTCGTCTAATGAATAATATGAATAATGTAGTTAGTCAAAATTTAATATATAATTCTTCAAATTATAAAATATAAATTATTTATATTCAAACTAAAAAACTAATTAAAATATATTAAAAAATGAATATTAATCTAACTAGTAAAAAGGAAATTCAAGAGATCCATTTTAAATTAACATATATTCACATTCACAAAAAAAAAAACTTTTAAATTGTACCTTTTGCTAAGTGTACATATATTAAATAACAATTTTAGTAGTATTATTCAAAAAACAATATTTTATATAATTATATTTTTCACCATAAAAAAAAAAAAAAAAAAAAAAAAAAAAAAAAAGGTATAAAATTTCCAATAAGATGTTCAAATTTAGGCCTTTTTATTTTTTAAAATATTTAAATATCAAATACGCAGTAATTTTAATTATTGTATATAAGTATAAAAAATTAGACAGATATTTAAAGTTATTAATAGTTATAATAAATCATTGATGATTATTATAAAAGGAAAATTTAAGTTGTAATTTCTGTAACTGTTTAAAATAATAATCTGAAAAAATTGTATTTTTTTATTATATAATTTCTTATTTATTTAAATTATTTCAATGAATAAATGGTTCTAAAAAATAAAAACATTTATTTTATTTTTTTTTTTTTTGTTAATTCAATTTTATCATCTGTTTTGTATTGTAAATTTAGATTTAATTATAAGTTTTAAAAAAAGAAAATAAAATAAATGAAAAAGTAAATAAATAAATAAAATAACAATTAATAATTAAATGAATAATAATTGTATATATATTTTTTTCAAATTTATTTAAATATTTATAATTCAACTATTTACCTATTTATTTTATTTTATATTTTTACCTTTATTTTGTTTGTATTCTAATAAGATACAAATGAAGAAGTGTTTTTAAAATTAAAAATTTTTTTTTTTTTTTTTTATCATTATTTTTGTTGGTTTTTATATTCCTATTACAATTATTTCTAAGTTTTATTTACAAAAAATTTTTTTTTTTTTTTTTTTTTTTTTTTTTTGTATCATTGATATAGACACATTTAAATTAAAAAAACATTTTTAATTTTAAAAAATTTTTTCAATTGCTACTAAAAAATTTGGTTTGTTAAAATAGTTTTTTTTTTTTTTTTTTTTTTAAAAAACAAATAAATACAGATGCACTTGGCATACTTATTTGTTTGAAAAACATGAAAATATATAAAATTATTCATACAATAACAAAAAAAATGAATTGGAGAATAAATAAAAAAAAAAATAAATGACTTAAATATATGGAAAATAATGTAAATGAGTAAATAAATGATGGATGTGTGTTTATATAAGGAAACTTTAATTAAAAAATATAATTTTATTGTATTTTATTTTGGAACAGGATTAAGCCATTGACCACCTTGACCATATGCTGATGCAACAACTTGAGCAACTTTTCTCTGTTTATGATTCATATAAATCATATACCAAGCTTTGTATCCTAAGTAAAATATTAAACCCATACCAAAAGGGTTTGCCCACCACCAATATCTATACTGATAACTATTATAAAAAAAAAAAAAAAAAAAAAACATTGAAAATTATATTTTTTTAAAAATATACTTCATACATAATTTAATAAATACAAAAACATATATATATATATATAAAAAAGTTCTTCAAAAATTAATTTTAAAACTTACACTCTAACAACTTGAGCTATTTGATTGTTAGTAAATTGAGCTACATCATTATATAAATGTGTTATTTGTTTATTTTTGTAGTTTATCCATAACTTCCTCCATGTTTTAGGATTTATGCCTCTACCCATCATTGCAATATAATTTTGTATATGAAAACCCATTTTCTTTAATATTTATATAAAATATATATATATAAAATTATTACTATTGTATTTTTTTTTTTTTTTTTTTTGTATTAAATAAATAAAAGAACTCTCTAAATTTTTCAGAAAATTTATAAATTTGTATTTTTATTTTAGTTCTTTTTTTTGTATTTTTTCAACAAAAGATAGAAAAAAAATTCTTATTAAACATGATTAAAGTGAAAATATGTAAGAAAAAGAATCACAATATTTATTAATATTATTAAAGTATTTTACTGTATATAATACAATTTTAATTTTTAAAAAAATTTTTTTTTTTAATAAAAATTATAAATGCATAAATATTTTTATAATGTAAATTTTAAAAATTATGAAAATAATGATTACAAAAAAAAAAAAAAAAAAAAAAAAAAAAAAAAATTAAAATCATATTTTTAAAAACTTTATTATTTTTTTTTTTATGAATTTTAAATGTAATAAGCATATGCTTAAATACACTTAAATTTTTGTTTTTATAATATTTTTTATGTTTTAATATTTAAACATAAGTAATTTTAAATAATATATTAAGAAATTTCTAATATAAAAAAAATATATATACATATATATATATATATATATATATATATATATATATATATATATATATATATATAAATACTTAAAAAAAATATGTAAACAAAATTTTACTATGTTAAGCGATTATTCCTAATATTATTCATCTCAAAATTTTTTAGAATCACTTAAATGATGTTAAAAACTCATATATATGGAAAATAATTTTTAATATTCATCTAAAAAAAAATTTTATTTTTATTATAAAAAAATAGGATTAAAAAATCAAATTATTTAGAAATTTGTTCTTGAG